CATTCGGGTCATGGGGTTGCATAGGCCACAATTGGCGACCTTGGCCTAAAGAGAGGGAGAATCGAGCTAAATTATGAACATCCTCATTAACTAAACGACCTTCAGAAGCAAAATTACAATTAAAACTAGCTGCATTAGACTTGATCTCACCAATGATCACTCCATGGCGTCCCCAAGTACCATTTGCCAGATCATTTGTCAGAACTATACATGCTTGAACTGGAGCGACCAATTTACTTTTTCGTGTTTTCCGAATCATGCGAGTAGCAAATAGTAGCCTCCTGAAGCGAGGCAATACGAGCCGACCCATTAGCGTTTCGCGGGCCGGGATCAAAATTGGTTTCATTACTTTTTTTCTTCGATTTTGTAACATTTTTTTCCCTTTTCGTTTGGGTTTCAGCGGTTTTTTCTCTTTCCTCTTTTCCTTTTATGATTTTAGTAAGTCCAACATTAGTTGGGTTTTTTTATTTTTTTCTCTTTTCGGGTTTGTTTTTGCTCCTAGTTTTACTTCATTTTTTTGGCCTTTTACGTTGTTTTTGCTTTCTTATGTTTTTTCTTTTTTGTTTTGTTTGTAAATTTTAAACTGTATTTTTATACATTAAAATTTTGCAAACATAGAGAACAATTTTTAATATATGTCAAACATCTTTTGTAATAAAACGATGAACATTTTATAAAAAAACTAGGTGAATGTTCTTTATATATAGTGAATATTTTTAAATTTATAAGATGAAGTGAACATTCGTTAAATATAATCTAAACATTGTTTTGTAATAAATGATGCACAATTTTAAAATATACGATGAATATCTTTTTATATGCGTAAATATTTTTCTAAAATAAATCATGAAGTTTTTCAAATTTACGATGGTCATTTTCTAAAGATTTTTTTCTAGTAAGTTTTAAATTATTTAGATTCTTAAAATAGCCAACAAGTTTCTGTGTGGAGAAAACTCACCTAGAAAATCAAAGATAAAAACACACCAAAGGCTCAGCAGTGCTGGCCATAGTGGGTCCGCCATTTGTTCCCCGTTTTAGTCCAGGTTGACGCCAACATGCGCCCAATAGGAGGTCCCATATTTTAGTAGTGTCAAATAGGTGCGGAAACATCCCCACCAACCTATATATGGTCGGAAGTGGAGTGGCCAATTTACCTTTTTGTGTGTTTTTTTAGAAAAATGGCTTAAATAGCAAGTTAGTCTTACGTCCCAAAACGTAATATCATTTTTGACACTATGATTAAAAAATAGCTTAATTAACAAGTTAGTCTTACGTCACAAAAATGGCTTCATGAACAAGTTACTCCTACATTTTAGAAATTGTAGAAAGTGTTTATGAACTAAAAACAAATGTTAAATAAATTGAACAGCGAACATATATAAAGAAAAAATAAATTTATTTTTAAAAGTTATAGTGTATTTAAATATATTTATTGTGTTTTGTAAGGTGTTCAATGTGTGCTTAAAAATATCCGTCGTATATTGATGTGAAATGGCTCACCAATCGAAGCTAAGGCATGATTATAAACTCAAAACTCTATGTAGTACATCATGTCTAGTAATTTTAATATATTTGGGTTACAAAAATTTATTCGGAGATTGTCATCAAGACCGTGTTTGTACAAAATAGTTTCTTAACTTTGCTAAAATTAGTAATCCTTACTTTTGAAAAA